CTATACATCGCTCAGTTTTCGAGATATCGATCTAAAATTTTGCATAGATTCTTTTCTATTGAAGATGTGTTTTATTTATCTGAAACACGGATATGGGACTACTATATCATATAGCTGTCATATAAACTGACCRATCYGACCCAAGTTCTTCTATGGAAACCCTTKTTATCTATCGAGATTTCCGCACAATATTTGGCACGAGTTACTTCTAAAATAAWTATTATAATCTCGGAGACAAATTATTCAGATCGAACTACTATAYCGTATAGCTGCCATATAAACTGTGCTAAACCAATTCTCACATTTGTGTGAGGAAGTTATCAGAGCCTCGATACGGCCGAAGTTAACATTTGTTTTTTTTTTTTTTGCTTTTTTGTTTTTGTTGCACTGCTAACTAATTTTAGCAATTTAAAAGTTTCATATCAGCTGTTTTGAACTTTCGCTGATTTTCGACTTTCAATCATACACACACGCACAAATCGTGTAACCCAATAATTTTGTTAGTAATTACTCGGCAGCTCTGTTGGAAATTTGATGAATGGGTGCCAACGTTAAAAATACTGAGTACTCTGAAAAATAACGCAAATTACCCACGAAAGTATAGAAGTACTTAAGAGGAGAAAGTTTGATAGAAGGAGTTCATCCATTTACATATTTATATATATGAATCTTCTTTAACAAGAATATACTCGATCTAAATGGCTACCTTGAGTTCATGAAACTTCTCAACAAAACTTAATCCCAACATTTTTATCATCATTCAACTGCACTGAACGAAGCGGTGTAAAGAATATAATTAAAAGTAAATATATCTCATGATTAGAGTCACATTCAATCCTAAAGTCCACGTGTTCGTCAAAAATTCATACAAGCTAACTTTGTTAACAGCTTTTAATTGACAGCTTTTTCTAACTTTTAAATTGATGTTGGTGTCTGCATGGTGTCATAATTATGTGCCAGAAATTTGAAGTATGAAGTGAYTTTAATTGGTTAATACAGCGCATAAAATGTCAAAAACGTGCAAAAATACTTATAATTCGCTCCTAAATAATGTGATTAACGCCAAAAAGTTGGAAGTTTTAAAAAGTTTAAAAGTTTAGTTTAAAAATGTTTTATTGGCTCTGCTGTAATATTGGTTGACTTCACTGAATTGAGAGAGTGTTGGTATCACAAAATGTTAAGCGATCTACTAAACACGAGTTTATTATATTTATATATTTTTGGTGTTTTAGCTAAAATAATTCTTAAAAAGTTTAGCATGCAAAAGTTTTTCTAAACTTGCCTTAAACCCCACTAGTTTAATCGTCTCGAACTAGTTAATTCGCCTTAGGTCCCACTGATCTCAGAGTTTCATAAACTTAAAGCTTTAAACTCACAATTTTTTATTTGCTAATTCCGAAAATGTTATTCGCCTCAACCTCTTTAAATCACCTTAAACACTACTTTACTGGAAATTAAAGTCAGAGTTTCATAAACTCAAAACGTTAAACTCGTTAATTTTTTTTAYACTTGGAAACCATTAACAAGCTTATTCGCTTCAATCATGTTAACTCGCTTTAGGCAGCACTTCACTGTAATATTAAACTCAGAGTTTCATAAACTCGGGTCTCTTTTTGCATTCGCCTTAATATTGTTAACTCGCTTTAAACACCACTTTATTGTAAAATTAAACTCCGAGTTTCATAAACTCGGGTCTCTTTTTGCACTCGCCTTAATATTGTTAACCTTCTTTAAACCCCACTTTACTCTAAAATTAAACTCAGAGTTTCATAAACTCAAAACTTTAAACTCGCCTTAAACACCACTTTGCTGTAAAACTAAACTCGGCGTTTCATAAACTCGAAAAAGCATGATTCGAAAATTTGGTTAGAATTCAAACCTGTAGATTATACTCAGAATTTCATARACTCAAAATCTAAAATTCAAGTTTTCTTACATTTGTTTGTTTGACCGCCTCACTAAAGCTTGTTCAATTGGCAGACAAACTTTAGCAAACCGCAAGCTGACAAGSAGACGAATTAAATTTGGAAGACTTCATAAAAACTGTCATTCGCATCACTTTTAATTATCTTGTTTGCCGCGAAATGGTGGTCAAAAAACTTGTAAAGTTTTCACGCACAGTAAGCCATTTTATATCTACTGGCGGCGAGTGAGATTTGGGACTTTGTTTATCTTTTTTATTTTAATTTTTTTTTTTTTTTTTTGAACTCGAAACGCACGCAGTTTTTAATTTAAAATGAAGCAGACAGGTGCAGAAGGAATATAATTTCAGCATTTTCTCATTCATCAACTTTACCGTAAGCATGCCTTTGTACGCGATTAAACAAAGCGCATAAACCTTGGGCCAAACTGACAAAAGCAAAGAGAGCGAGAGAATGTAAATTTTGTACAAAAAAGTTAAAAATTCTACATGGCATATATTTTTATTTCGCTGTGCTTACTGATTCTCCAGCTCACATACTTGTAGGTACAATTTTCAATTTTTTATATTCCACGTTTTTGCATTCAACTGTGTTTGTTATAATTTTGTTGATGGAAAAGGCTTGGGCAAAACGCAAACAGTAAAGCTGCCGTTTATTGTTCAAATTTTCACGCAAGCAATGAGTCTTTCTTTTATTTGTCGAAACGCCAGCAATATACAGGCTAAAACGAAATCTCGCCTGCCTTAAATTTATGCGCATGGCGTTGTTGTTGTTGCTGTTGCCTGCCGAATTATCATACTCATATATACCGCTCCACATTTTTGTTTGCCACAACCAAAAACGCCACGCAATGCTTGTTGCTGCGGCAAAACAATGGTTCATGCCACCCACTCCCGCCCCTTAACTTTTCAAAATTTTTTTTTCGCCTTTCGTTTTTCATTTTTCATTGCTCGCCTCCAGTTATGTGTTTGTAGCGGCACGAAAGCATTATGACCAACCAAACGCACGGAAGCATGTCGGTGCGAACAAAAAACCAACGGAAAGAAAAAAAGAGAAACTTAAACAAAAACAAAATTTTAGCATAATTTGTGGGTGCGAAATATTTTTATGCTACGTTTGTTGTTGCCGTTGTGCTTTGTGTGTGMCTTTTCAAAAATTACAAATAATGCAGACAATAAAATGTGACGGCGGCATACCTGTAAATCCAATGCCGATTCTCGCTGCAGAAATARAAATGACAGCAAATTGTGTTGTTGTGGTGTGTGTGCGGGATGGAAGACTTTTAATTAATGATACTTTATTATAAGCCGCATGAAATTGCCTCTTCGACGTGCATGCAATCACGCCAGCCTGCCTAATTATTACATGAAATTCGCCATATTTATTCTGTCAATGTGGCTTATTGCCACATATGTGGCAAGCAATAAATTGTGCCCGCATGACGTGGCCGAAATTAGTTGCGGCAATTATTCAAAGCTTTTGAGTATGTGTGTATGTATGCATAGATGACTCGGCTTTATTATTTGCGGCGCAGAAATTATTATATATAAGTAGACCTGAGGGTTGCTTCTTACACCTTCCTTTGATATAACTGACTCTACTAATTTTAAGGTATGTTTAGTACACATTTTTTGAAAGTAGAAAAAAATGTTAACTGCGGCAGTTACATTTCTATAACACAAAACTGAATAAAAGTATCTTCAAATTGATTTTGATCGTTCAGTTTATATGGTGTTGTATGTTATWGTAATAATAATTGAACACTATGCACGGAGGGAGTAGCGTTTTCGTGGACAATAACRCATGCCAAATTTTGTGCAGATTTTTATCAAATMAAAAAGTTTTCGTGCGAAGAYTTGATTTTTAYCGAACAGTTTGTACGACAGCTCTATACAATAGTGAGCCAATATCGGCTGTTCTGGCAAATAAACGATTCTTTCAGGGAAAACGTCGGTTAGACAGACGAACATGGCTTATTWGACTCAGCTCGCTTTTATTTATGTATATACCTACTTGTATATACTCAATGGGGTCTCCGTCGTTTTCTTCCAAGTACTACAATCTTCCTGCCAAACTAAATACACCTTGCTCAGGGTATAAAGAGTGCATGTGACATCTTTTAGCTCCTACTTAGACATGACATAGAGCTAAGTGTACATTCACTTCGTATCTTTTTACCATGAGGTCTGCCGATTTATATCGGGATAACTCTTTATAAGTCTTCATATACCATACCATATACCATAGTATACCAAGTGTCTGCCAAAAATCCAGTTTTCGGTTTTTTCTTTCGTCCAAGTTCTAAGTTAGGATTTTAACTAAAACATGTATTTTCACTTTAGATGATCTTATA